TGCATTATGGACTTAAAGAGGACATATTATTCCCCTTTTCCACCTTTTCAAACAGTCCCCCTGTGGTCTAAATGAAACATCTGGAGAGCAAAGTTGAAACGGAGCGTTTTTCTCTGTGTTGTAAGACTGATGCAGACCACAAACAAAGGACTGGATGGGTTTATTTCACATTTTGTGGTTTGGTAGACACTCAGGTTACCCAAATATATGTTCAAAAACACTGTCAAAGTGGATTTTTCATAATATGTCCCATTTAAAAGGTTCTAGGTATACAATATCATAAAGTGATTTTATCTTGGCCAAGATTTTTTATGCATCCCCAAAAAATCCTGAAACACAAGTTGTTACTAAGCTGCTCTGTTGCTCAGAACAGAGCAATGCAGGTGGGATAGATATGTGACACTTGAGTCACACAGAATAGACTGTTTAATTTCAGTATGAACCATCTGTGTTTGTCGCAACCAACGGCGGTGCTTACATTCATTTTCATAGTGCATGTGTATTATTCAAACGTTTTATCTCAGAGTCTCTAGGGAAAAGGAAAAATGAGCCAAAACAAAAGACAAATATGACAGTGTGTGCAGGTATGACCACGTTGTGGAAACAGAAGTGAGAAGAAATGAAGAAGTTTAAGTGCAGAGTGAATGAGTGCGGTGAGGAAGTCTGTAAATGTTGTGATGACTCTCTTTATACTCCCTCTCTACCACTTCCTCCAGCTCACTTCTCTGGTGATCGGCTGATTCTGTCGCAACCTCTCTTGACCAATCTTCCTGCAGCGACCACATTTTTCCACTTTCAGTGTGCTCGCTGCAACCCTTCTCTGTCCCAGTCACCTCCAATGCAGCTCAGCAGACTTCAGATCCAGCCTCAGAAACCCACTCCTCATCACATCCTGCATTCTTCTATCACCACCAGGGTCTAGACTCCATAGGGGGGTATCCTATCCTGCTGTCGGCCACATTACCCCTCTGAGTGCATGACGTCATCATGATGGAGTCTAATCCCCAAAGACTTTGCACATTTATTTCCTAAATTGTTAAATAAAGAGTTGTTCATTCTTAACCCTCCTGTTACCTTACACATTTATTAACATATTTTATCCTCGGGGGTCAATTTGACCCCAGCAATTTAAACCTCCAAAATGTTTACAATTAAAATTCTTACCCAAGTTTATGTGTCAGGAACTTTAAAAAGCCCTTCAGATAAAACAACTGTACAATTTCAAAGATTTAGAAGGATTTTAATTGTAACACTGAAACTCATCATCATCATAACATCAGTAAGGAACACATGACAGTTCTTTATTTACAAAAAAACCTAACTCCTTTTATCTTTGGGGTCAATTGGACCCCATTCAATGTTTATGATTGACATTTTTTTTTGCTTAATATTTAATGACTTTTCCTAATTTAATGGGGACAACTGGGTAAACATAAAACTAACTTGATGATATGTTTTCAGTGTCCTGTGTCCATGTGTTGTATGCACTGATGTTCTTTGGACTGTTTTAGCTGTTTAATTAAAGCCTCTCCTGATTGAACTTAAGTTAGCAACATGCAAGTGACACAGCCTTAAGTCTTCATGATTTATTTAACATGTATTTAAATAGTGCATATTTAGAATCTGATGTATCTTCTATTTTTTTATTCTGTACTTGATATGTGTTTATGATTGGAAAGAGTTTAAAATATGTCGCACACTTTGTGCTCAAAAATAAGCTGATCAAGAAAAATAAACATGAGATTTAAACATCTGCTTTTTAAAATGAACACTAACTGTTTGCATGTATTTTAATGAGTCATTACGCAGTCAGCGGTCTGGATCTGATCCTGGCCCTTCACAGCATGTCATCCTTCACTCTCTCCTCCCAACATTTACTGTCTCTTTTCAGCTGTCATATCCCCAAAAAAACCCATACAATTTAAAAATACCTAATTTAATCTAACCACGCGCACTTTAATATTTTACTATATTATACTATTTTAAAGCCTCAAATTTGGCTTGTCCACTGTGGCCACCCTGGATACACCGTGCTATGCCTCCATCCTGTTTGGCAGGTCGCCATTCATAACTTACCACAGCCTGCGGCATTCCCTGCTCTTTTCATTTTCTTCGCTCTAAATGAGACCATTTCACAAATGAAACATTCTGCAGAAAAGAAGACTTAAAACTTGTGATTGAAACCAGTTCCTGTATCATAAAAAGTGTTAACTGAGATATTAAATCCAGCTGAACGTTGGGGTAATTTTGTTGGAAGTTCCCACATTTTAATTAGACAACTAGTAGAATCGTCCCCTGATGTCCACCACACCCTTGTCAAATTCTTTGGAACAATGGTCTGCAGCGATAAACAGTTGTGGAAATACAGAGACACGCCTGACACTCTGATGGACACACACACACACACACACACACACACACACACACACACACGGGTGTAGCTCATGTAGCTCACATACTTATACATAAACCATCTAGAAATGAATTGTTAACGTGAACCTGATAACCTTACATGACTGTCAGCGATGCCGTTTTCTGGAACTAACAGCGGCAAAGAAGAAGTAGCTGACTAACATCCGTGTGTGTATGCTAATAAATTCAGGTTCAGGGGTCGTCAAGTCGAATGGTTTCACATTTTGAATGAGGACTTGTGAATGTGCTCTCAGCTTTGTTTGGTGCCACTCAGTTAATATCATCTGTGCCACTTGCTTTTTTATCTTATTTTCCTAAACCACTGTGTTTATAACCACTAGGATTGAACATGGAAATACCATGTAGTAGATGTTATTTGGAAATTAACCACCAGCTCTTATCCTGTCAGGATGTGACCCTAATTTACAGCGTTAGGACAACTAAAGAATTGGGAGTACAAAGAAAAGTGCTGCTTCTGTATTTCACAATAAAGAAGGAAGCTAAAATGTACTTTATGATTCATTCTGACGGCACACTTCTTCCCTTCCCCCCCCTCACCTTTGTTCAGTATATTAAGAGAACTGTCTGACTTTCTGCTACTTTCAGCCTGTGTGTGTGTTTACCGCAGGTGATTTCATTTCCCCCAGGATGCTACTTTGCTGACCTCTCCCGATGAATCGATGTCAATAAACCTTAATCTCACGTCGCTGTCTACAATTTCATGTAGAGTAACAAGTTACCATTAGATTTCTGTGATCGTAACAACGTTATTAAATTTGAAAAATAACTATATAAACTAAAACTCCCTGCAAATAGTCGTGGAGTTATAGGAACGCGTTACTAACAGAGCTGAGAACAACAAATCCAGAGGGAGTTTGACTTCACTCTTTTTTTTTTTAAAGTCTTTTCTCTCTGATATGTTTAGAAACATTTGACATATGATATATATGAATGTTTAAATGTTGCATACCTTTAAAGCGACATTTTGCCTTGTTTAAACTTCATTTCCATACGCCGTCATCTTGTCCAATGGCAACACAGGGAATGAAGAATCAAACAGATTATTGTTAAAAAGGATCATTTCTGAGGGTCGTATCATGTCTTGCAGGGATAGTGAAGGTCCAAATGCAGCTAATTCAGTATAACATTGTTAGGTTACAGGAAACAACATTAAAGTATAGCAGTTAGTTACCAAAAATATCTCCTCTTTTAAAGTTTTAAACACAGTCTATGAAGTAAATGTGGAGAAACAAACCACATTGTGTCTTCTGTTCATGGAGCGGCACAACCACAAGGACACATTCTCAAAGCGATTCACTGGTGAAAGAATGCAGATTGTACACGTGCATGTTTTCATTGTTTGCTTTGTTTTGATGCTGTGCATGAACTGCTCAGTTGTCCCCATACACATAATTCAACACAAAGTCAGATGATTATTTTTGACATCATACCACAGCAAACGAGACACCCGTGTGATCTTTAAACTGAGACAAAATCACAAACAGTGACCAAATTATCAAAAGTAACATTTTATTGATCGTTCAGAGGATTCCTGTTGTTGATGCCGTCATGAAAACATAAAAATATTTAGAAGATTTTTTGTAACAAATTAAAACTGACTCAGAAATACATAGACAGGCATGTCAGAGCATGTTTCATCCTTCATTAGGCGAGACATAAATTGATTATTACCTTTAAAATATAACATGTTTAGCTGTAACAAAAGCACATACTTCATACTGCCTACTACTAAAATAGGGGTCTTGAATTATAATATTTGGCAACATGTAAAATTTATTTCAGTATTGAGCTTTTATTCTAAGCTCTGCGATTGGACAGTTTGAGAGCCTCAGTGCATTATGGGGCCGATTAGTATGACCAGTAAACACCTGTTTCATACTTAAAAAATTCCGGCAGATTTAGTTTACATCCGGGTATTTCACAAAATATACACAAAATTGCATACTATGACTTTGGATCATGCTACATACTCGATGTGTATGAATAGTATGAAAATCATTTCAGACACACATTGTCTGATCATATGGCTTCATTTCCTGCATAGAAACACTTAATGTTTAAAAAAATAAGTAAAAAAAAAAAAAAATCAGTTAAAAAAATACTCACAGTGGATTGTCAAGTCATGCCATGTATGTCAGCATATCAATTCAAGCTCATGTATTTAAAATACAAAAAATAGATTTCTTATAGTACCATTAAAGGCTTTCTATGTGATTTTTCACACTTAAATATAATATAAATCAAGTATATCCTCTGAAAATAACTCTGTGAGTCATGACTGTCTACAATGGGTGTAACACCCGAGTCCCACTGTCTGTGATGTTTTCAGAGTTTTCAGAGTCCTATCTTCACTTTGTTTACATCGCCAGGACGGCCGGCTGACTCCTCCCCTCATGTATAAAAGTTGTTTAATTGAGGGACTAGAGAAAAGAAGAATAACATACTGTACTCACTGCTTAACTGTGTTTCTAGATCACGCTCATTTCAGGTAAATTTACATGCAGTGTGAAGATACCGGCATAATAAAGATCACTAGCATTAGCATGCTAACACAACAATGCAGCGCGAGTTGTTTTGGTTTCATGCTGGTGCTCAAGGGCGACATCTGCTGGATCAAAAAATCGCATATAAAGCCTTTAAGGCTTGAGGAAGTCTGGTCACAAGGTTCATACCAAAACCACTGCCAGGATGCTGGTGGATAATTAAAGGGTTAATCAAGCAAAGAATTCTCACCTAACCTTTAAATACATCCAGGTTCTGATCAGCCTACAGGGGGCCTGCCTCACCTGAAGGTGTCTTGATAAACGGCATCTGATGATGTGTCAGTACAGTAGTTTTGGATTAATGTTTTGGACAGGAGGAAATGGCTGCTTTTCGGAAAAACCTTTGTCTTTCCTCCAGCTCCTCCTCAAGACACTGTATTGCAACTGGGTCCACTTTGGGGTCAAACTTATTGGCAAACCAGTGACCATAGCTCAGTAACCAACGCATTTCTGCTGCACCGAAAACACAAACACTGCGGACATGTTCCCCTGTGCATGGCGGGTACACTTTCCCCTCCAGGTATTCCCACTTCACCAGCCTGGTCTTACTCATCAGGTCGGTGATGTCACCCTGGGATCTGGGTACCTCCCCTGGTACTCCTGGTATTCGCACAAGCGTCGCCCAGAAGTGTTCATCCGGAGAGAAGGTGTCCTCTGACCAGTCCAGCAAATCCCTCACCACAGCCGAGGAGTTCAAGTAAACGACAAAGTGTCTTGATAAGACAAAGTAGGCGCTACCAGTGAACATCTGGATACCGTGTGGAGGTGGCGTCTTTCTCTGCTTCGTTGCCTCTTGCCACTTGCCAAATTCACTATTGTCTCTCAGCTCATGGTGGAAAGTAAACCTTTTCTTCTTGGACTTGGTAGGTTGACATGTCTCCAGCATGTGTGCTCCGTTCAACTTCTTGAGTTCTGACACCAGCTCTATGTTGGTCCTGAGGGGGAAATCCTGACCACAGAGGTTGATGACATACTTCCATTGGACCTCTGACCTCAGAAGGTCCGACAGACAGTTGAGGTCAGCTTTCAGTCGGGTAATGTCGCCGTAAAATACCACTTCTCTCTTGGTGGCAATGAAAACATTGGGCATACACCCAGCCAAACCCTTCATGGCTGAGGTGAACTGAGCGGAGGACTTTTCATCGTAGTGGATGCAATAGATGTTATTTGGTGAGTAAATCGCTTTGAGTAGCCTCTCCAACATCCACGCAGATTTATGCACAACCAAAGAATAAGCAATTGGAAAATCCTTCTCCTCCTCCGACACACACACATCATCATAACCTCTTGTCTTCATGAACATCGGACAGTTTGAGGTGGCTGTAGACAGACTTTCATCGGTGTCTTCCACAAGCTGGTTTGTTCTGGTGATGAGCGATTTCCCCACCTCAACGGGGTCCATATCGTAGATTGCTTTACAGTTCACATTGTACTTTTGAAAAGTCTGAATGTCGACAGGTGGCGGTAAAGATTCAGTGATGGAGCTGTACTTCACAGTGATCAACAGCAGGACACACAAAGTCAGCAATGACAGCAGTGAAGGGATTAACTTTCTTCTCAGTTTCAGTAATGAGCATCTTGCATTCATTCTGCAGGGAGAGAGAAACAACGAGACCTGAAACCAAAAGAACAACATGTTGTTTTGTAAACAAGGTATTCTCCAATCCAGTTAAGTTTTTAAAATAATACAGAAAATCATGGCTCGGGATCTTAAACTGTAAATAAATTTGGACAAAGCCTGAGTGATGTCACCCATTAATTACAGAAGGGGGGCTTTGGAAGCCACTCAATGGTGGTCCCCATGCTGGAAAAGCTGTCTCAACCTAACTTTCTGTCAAACTAACTGAACTTTAAACCTCCCGACAAACAGCTGAATGGATGTGTATGTGACTTCCAGGAATTCTGCAGCCAGCCTCAAGCGGTCACTCAATAAACTGGAGTTTTTTTTCACTTCCACATTGGCTTCATTTTTTGCTGAGTTTGCTGCTTGTTTGAGATCTTAAGTTCCATAATAAGTTCCCCTGTTTTATCGCTTAAGGTGGCTTAAGATACATGAAGGTAAGTTCTAGGATATAATACTGTTACCTCCAATCTACATAAAGCAAATTAAGGATTAAAGATGATAGTTTAGCAGCTCTGACCTGAGGTCAGGAAGATGGAAACAACTGATGTCAAGGTGGGCATGTGATGCTCTTTTGACATGTGGGAAATAACTAATGAGTTCACTGAGGCTAAAAAAGGTTTTAGTTCCTGAATTATTTTATTTTATTTCAAAATAGAAAATAAAAGCTATTCTTTTTTTTTTTTTAATTGAGTTTTTAACTTGAACAGTACAAATCGCTGCTTGATGTACAGAATACAAAATATAAAACCACCCATCCCTACCCAAACCCACCCTCAGTCCCACCCCAATGCAATGCTTTTAACAACAATGATAGCATAATGTACTGTCTACATTTACACATAAACATATGTTATCCTATTAACAGTAGTGAAATAGGCTATGAATGGAAACCACATTTTACTGAACTCAGCCTTTTTTCCTCCTCATGGTGCATTTAATCTTGTCAATCAAGCCATTCTTTAATCTAATTTTGACCATGAAAAATAAAATCACCATTGAGTCATTATAGGTCTATATGAGCTTTTTATTTTTCGTGTTTTGGTTGATAGGTTGTCTTTCTCTTGCAGGCTTTATACACTGCCAGAAACATTCAATTAAATACATAAAAAACAAATAGACTGAGAAGAATCATAGCCTGGTGTCATATTGAATGAATGACCCTGCTTTAATTTTTTCTGATGTCATTAGCCGAAATTGAAAATTAGATTATTTTGCAATATCCATTAAAGCTTTTTTTTCTTCTTCTAGGTTTCAAAAGCAGATTCCTCAACATTACCACGTGATACAGGCTATAACAGAGACTTGTTTCTTCAAAATCAAATTATAAACACTCTTCCTTGCTTTCTGCTTTGAGACCCTACCAAAACTGTAGATTTGCATAACGATAACCGTTAATCCCCACTTGTGAATTTCACAAACCTTCAGTTATATTAGTTACTCACCTTCATCTTAAGGCACGCTGCGCTCGAACTGGAAGAGTGGACAACTTTGCTTTACCTTTTTGCTCACGACTTGCACGCCATCCTAATTAAAGTGTCATCCGGAAGCAGCTCACATCCCGAACTGAACATCTTTGACTTCAGCTCATATTTGCAACATCTTCCTCCAAAGTAAGAATAAATAGGTTACCGAAAAGTGCATTACGCGCAAAATACAGTAAGTGTCCACTGACGCGTGTGTGGCTCAGAGGAATCAAACCGGAAAGAAGAGGGTGGGTCTCAAAGATGAGAAGATGACGCGCTGTTTACAGATAACAGAAAGTGCAAAAATGATGAGTCACTTTTTTATATCAACGCCAGTGTTCATCAAACCAACAATATTAGCCTGCACACTGGAAATTGGATGGAATAATAGTGTGAGCAGCGTGTGCGCAAACCTGACCTGTCCCTAAACAGATATCCCTGCAGCTAATTAAGGATGAATGAAAATCGCGTGCAGTCATCTGATCTGAAATCACTTGAAGAGGAGAGTTAAGGAACACCCAGGACAAAGTTAAGGTTGTCCTTCACACATTCCTTTCCCCGTGAACAGTCTGCCTTTCGGGTGAGACTCAGCTGAAAGGACCACAATCAGTAAAAAAAAACCACAATCAAAAAAAAAAACCTGTCAGTAACCAGATCTAGTAATGAAGGGGAAGGGGTGATGGTGATCACAACCACTAAATCCTTTAAATACGTTCTTCTTGTTACATGTGTGATGGTGAGAGAGAAGAGAAGAAACGAAGTGAAATGCATTCATGAGGAGAGACAAGGATAAATTTAAGTTTGTTTTACATGACAACACATTTTATTTTACTTTTCTTGTACTTGCTGGGCCTTTTTGCCTTTATTGGATTGAGCAGCAGAAGATTGACAGGAAACGTTGGGAGAAGAGAGATATGCAGCAAAGGGCCAAGGTCGGATTCAAACCTACGGCCTCTGTGAGGAGGTGTCCCATGCCTCCGTACATAACCGCTAGGCTGTTGGCACCCCAGACAACACATTTTCTTAAAAGTTTGGACGATGTGTAAAATGGAAATAAAATCAGAATGTGACGACCTGCAAAACATGGAAAGGCCATATAAGGATAACTTATCAAATGTTGAAACTGAGATGTCATTGTTGTTGGAGGATTTTATGCAGGGGCGTTGTAGTGGGGGGAAAAGTGGGACTGACTACCCAGGGCCCCAGTGGGGAGGGGGGCCCTTCATGGGCCTGAAATAAAAATCTATTTCTAATTTAGCTTTTTTCTCAAAGTTATAACTTACAAGTTATAAGTTATAACTATAAGATAACTAAAATTGTCTGAATAAATGCAGAAATCATTTCTGGAAAAAAATGTGGAGTCTGTCTCAAAGGCCCCTCTCCCCCCTTCTGAATGCGTAGAATGGTTTAGTCCGCCCCGCACCTCTCGACCCTCTCGACTGCCATTATTTTAAATTGATGCCAGCAACACGTTTAGAAAACTTAAGGACAGGGTCATGTTTTTATCGCTCTGTTGCATCACTTTTCTTTTTAATAACAATATGTGATATGTGTTTTTTTTGGGAAATTACCATTTTCTGTCATTTTGAAAGTGCAATGTTTTACAGTTCAGGGTCTCCTTTTTCTCATTTTATTAGGCTTCATATTGCTTTAACGGGTGACCAGTCAGGACTGCAGGAAAACCAGTTTATCACTGGACTCTTTAAAAACTAGTCATTGGAATTATTGCAGGACTCAAAGTCTTAGAAAGAAATCCATCTTCTTATTATTTGCAGATTTGTTCATGTGGAAGTTTTATATTGTGGGGATGGGCGGTGAGGCTTGAAAATATTTTCATCTGCCCATTGGGAAAAAGCGTCAGAAAAAGTTTGGGAATGCTGTTTTTGCCTTAGTGATAAAGTACACGAGGTTCATGTTAGGGTTGTAAAACAATAAAGGATTGTCTTTGTAAAATATTTCATTAAAAAGCATCATTATCAAACATTAAATATGTTATTAAAAGTAGCTGTTTCTGGGGATTTGGCGCCCCCTGTGGACAAAGTATATAATGTGCAGTCCCTTTTAAAGCAACAATAATCCGGATTTGGTAATCCCTCAATGACTACACCTGGATCAGGGGGATCCTATCCGGTTTTTCTTTGAATAAACAGGAAAAAGGCGACCTGGATTACATGATCGTTGGTAGAAAAAAATTGGATTACCAAATCTGAATTGTTGCTATTTTTATCAGAATAAAATCTTTTGAATAACCCTAAACCCATATTTGATGAAAAATTTATCAAAGATAACAAAAAACTTTAAGACTAGAACGACCGGCATTCTATCACTACCAAAAATGCCATAGCGGTCATTTTGACTGTTTACGAATTATTTACATACCATTTCAATAATCAATATCAAATATAAGAATAAATGGATCTGTAATGCTGTGAAAGGTAATAAACTTCAGGACACAAACATTAAATTCTAATGAATTTGAAATTTGAATAGTTTATCGACAACCACGGGAACAGCAGCCGGCGTTTTTTGCGAATAGGAATGATTTCTGTATCATTCTCAGGTTCAATCTCAGAGCCAGAGTCAGATGAAGAGCGACCAGGAGACATCACTTTCCGTATCCGAACCTGCACCTCCATCAGACTCTGCCTCATCAAGGCTCTGGAGCCTCTGTGGCAGCAATCCTCCTCCTTCCTGACATTTCGTTCTATTCTGTTCTAAATCAGATCCTAATTTACTCTATTCTGCCTTTTCAATGTTGATTAATTCAAATGTATGTCTCCTATTCTTTCTATATGATTTTAGGCGAGTAAGCTTTCTTTCCTCCTAGGCTCCAGCGTTATAAACAATAGTTGCTAGGCAACAGCAATGCGCACCTTCAAGTAGTGGTGGGCGATATAACGATCTTAGATCGTGAAGGATTTTAACTTGCTGACGATCTGAGAGAGCAGAGAGATCGTAGAACCGGACTAATGTGTTTATTTTATCATGCCCCCCCCCCTCCATCTCGGTTATATGCAACTGTTTTGATATTTTTCCAAACCAACACGCTGTGAGCAACAGTTAACTTATCTGCAAAATGTGCACAGTTGAGAGAGACGTTAACAGTCAGAGTCAGACAGGAAGGAGCTCAGACAGACAGTGAGGGGAGATATAACCCTGGTGTTTCAAATGTTGCTGTCGGTGTTTTCTGCTCTCTCTCGGTTTTTAAAAGTTACTATCATCCTCTCCACCCGAAACTCACCTGTTGTGATAACTGAATTTATAGGGATTAGGCTAAACGATGTTACAAAGCAGCAGGCAGAGTGAGAGTGAGTAACCATGGTGAGTGTCTGTCTGTCAATCAACAATGTCCCGCCCCCTCTATGAATTAAACTCTTCTGTCAGTAAAACTTACTTTGATCATGTGTCACAGAATGAACACATTCTGTATTATGTTTGATTATATATAAACTAAACTAAAGTTAGTCCAATGATGTCATAAAAAACAACAAAGGCTGCAGAGCCTGTATGAAGCTCCAGCTGGAGGAACTCTGCAGGGCTAAAACAGAACAGAAACTTCAACAGCTTCAAGTCTACATGTTTTTAAATGAATGCATCACTGCGTGAAAATGTTCCTGATGAACATAAAAAGAGGACACATAACTAAATCATCATTTCAAAGTGGTGAGGAAAACCTTCAAATTGTTCCTAAATATTGATCAAATTGAGGGAAAGACATTTCTGTTGCTAAAGATGTTCTGGGTGAGAGACCTCCAGACCTCCTACAAAGATGTTTTTCAAATAGATTAAACTTGTCTGCACAGTTTTTGTGCATTTAAAACCATTATACAGGTAAATAAGTTTGGTTGAACTGGTCAGCAACTTACAAATTTGTCTAAACAGTGTGAAAAACATTGTGATAAAATCGTGATCGTGATTTTGACAAAATAAAAATCGTGATATGATATTTTTCCCATAACGCCCACCTCTATCTTCAAGAGCGGGAAAAAGTAGTGAATACTGAAATGATACACTGGCTATAATGCATGCAGTCAATATGCCCGCTATGGACTTTCAAGGTAGAAATACTCAAAATTATTTTGTGTTTTGTGTTTTTGATAAAATAACAATGCTAGAATAAAATATAGACACATTTAGGAAAAGTCATGGTCCTGCAGTTACATAGGTTTTATTTTAAGTAAGTTATTACATTGCAAAATTTAAAAGCAGTCAAAATGACTGCCTTGGTCTTTCTAGTGTTCAAATCAATGAGAAAAGGTGATAAATCAGACTCAGACTCAGACTGAGATAATTTTGTTTATCTCAGAGGTCATTTTTTTTACAGTCTACCCAGACCTACATACAGTCAAACAGACAAACAGCAGACATAATTATGTAATAGACAACAAATTAATAAAAATACAGTACATCAGTACATTGACAGAGATGCTCAGAAGCACTCTGGCACCCTCGTGTGGCCCCATACCTAACAACCCACTCCAGGCAATTTGAAAATATACAGTTTAAGAACAATAACTGATACATTAATAAATAATGAATAGAAAAGGCATGCTTTGTACATGACATTAAAAGACTACTTTCAGAGAATTTCTGAAAACGCCACAGATGTAAGATTTACAAGTTTAAACCCCCCCATGTGGTTCAACACAAGAACAAACAATAACATGACACAATGAAGTGTTCATTCCAGGTGACTACTATCAAGGATTAAACGGTCTGATGGCAGACGGAATAAAAGAGTTACAGCAGGCTACATGGTTTGTTCTCCTGAGGGGAGCTACACAGCGCCAGACTGAAGGACTCTCAGTGAACTCAGAGGACAGAGAGGGGGCACATTGGGAAATTATTCCTTTAGCTTTTTTGGAGGGAACACAAGTATCTCTGCTGGATTTTGATTCATAAGCAACAGACCTACATTCCTTGACTACAAGAAAATAAGTGAGCATAAGTGATTGGGGGCTGCATGGTGGTGCAGTGGTTAGAGCTGTTATAGTTCTCATTGGGAAGCATCCATGTGGTTTTGGAGCTTGGTGAGGCATGCAATAAAGCAGAAACAATTTAACATGTTGTTAGTTGTTGAATTGTGAACACAAAGACAGAACATTATGTTAGAAATGGAAAATCACTGGACTTGTAAGGAGAGATATAAAAACATATTTTGGACTGTGGTGAAAGAGAACTGGGTCTGTTGAGGAGGAGCTAGGGAATGTAAAAAGTGGT